CACACTAATGTTCACTGCTGCACCATTCACAATAGCCAAAAGGTGGAAACAACTGAAATGTCCATCAACTGATGAATGGGTAAGCAAATAGTAGTATATACATACCATGGAATATTATTTAATCATAAACAAGAATGAAGTCCTCACGCATGCCACAACACGGATGAACCCTGAGGACATTATGCTTAGCAAAATTAGTCAGAGACAAAAGGACAAACACTATGTGATACCACTTATATAAAATAAGTAAATATATGGAAACCAAAAGTATTTAGTGGTTACCAGGGATGGTAGGGAGAGGGAAAGAAGGAGTTTTTGTTTAGAGTGTAGTGTAGGTATGTTAAAGGTGGTGGGAAAGTTTGGAAAAAACAGTGAAAATAAGTGCACAACTTGAAGAATGTAATCAATGTTACCGAAGTGTACAATGTAGAAATTGATGAAATGCTGTATGTGCTGCTGTGTTTATATTAAAATAAAGAAAAAGAAAGGAAGCTAAAAAACCCCAAGAGTTAGTATGATTTTTACAATTGCAATGCTGTAAACAGCAAGATGGAAAAAAATCACTAATTAAGAACATAATCCCTTAAAAATCTTCATTTGCTAACAAAGGCTGCTTCTTATTCACTCCTTGAAGTAACTGGTTTTGCACACATCTCCATCTTTGAAAATATTGGAAAAGGGTAAGCCTGTAATTCAAAAATTACAGTGATACTTAATGAACCCATCTTTATTGAGGCTGTAAACGACCACTTTGACTATACTTCTGGATGACTGCAGGGAGAATCTTGTTTGGAAAGAGGAAATGCGTGACTGTGAATGCCAATGGGTACTGTACCTGTTTTAGGATAACGGAATGCATCTGCCCTTCTTGTTTCCAACATAGGGGATGTAACATGAATAATTTCCACCTCAGATTCATCATTTTCTTCATAGAGAATTCTCAGAATTTTGCCACCACTGGGAGCTTAGAAAGAATTTAGATATTGAAGATTTAGAATTATTCCAGAAAGTAATCATAACTGACCATTCCCTCTAGTATTAGATTTCCCATGGTGAAAAAATAATTTATGTATATAATCTGGTACTTTTATGTA